CGAAGCACACCTCGCGGCTCCTACCCCTCCCCCCTCTGCCTCCGACTCACCCTCGAGTCCGTGGGCAGGCGGCTTCGCAGACATCCTCCTCCCGGCTCGCCCCGCTCGCGCGCGGACATCCTCTCCCAGGCCGAGGCCGACGACCCCGGCGTGCCCGCCTACGCAGTCGACCTCCTCGACGCGCTCGTCGCCAGCGAGCTGGACGTCTCCCTCCGCACACCGGCCTTCGCCCACGGGCCGCCCCGCGCACCCCGCCGCGCGCGCGCACGAGAGCGAGTCGTTCGGGACCGCCGCCGCGCGGATCCTCGCAGACACCTCCCTCCCGCCCTCGCCGCGCGCGGGGTCCCCCGCGCCCTCGCGGTCGCCGGCACGCGACAGGAGCACGTCGGCGACCTCGATGCCGCGTGGATCAACGTGGCGATCCCCCGCCCGCGCGCGAGCGCGTCCAAGGCGGGCGCGGGCCCGTCGAACGCGCAGAGGATCCGGAGGAGCCTGCACCTCGGCGGGCTCGGCGCGTCCAAGTCGAACCCGAACATGAAGGCGGCCGCCGCGGCGCACGCGCACGCGCACAGCAGGCTCGGCTCGGGCTCGCCCCTCCGGAGCGCGCTCGCGCAGACGTCCAGCTCGCTGTCGTCCGTCCCGGAGAGCCTGGCGTCGAGCACGTCGGACGACGAAGACGGCAACGGCAACGGCGACGGGAGGCGGAGGCGGAGAGGAGGGGGCGGGGAGGAGAAAGGCGGGCCGCGCGGAGGACGCGAGGATGGCGGAGATGGGCGCGGACCTGGACGAGAGCAGGTCGTTCTCTGTTGTGTCGTTCAGTGTGAAGGGCGAGGAGCCGCAGGGCGTGGGTGGGCTCGTGGCTAGAGTGCGCAACCGGCTGAGTGGGCTGGGCAGGCGGTGAGGGATGCCAGTTATGCGATGTAGGTTTGGGGGAAGCGGAAGTGGAAGTGGACTGCTGCTTGGATCATTGTAGGTTGCTCGTTTGTTGCTCTCGCTGCATGATGTATGTATTCAAGTTGGGACTTTGCTTGCGAAATCTCACATGCTACTACGACTACTCTCTTGCTTCATTTGACGGGCTATGCTGTGTCCTCGTTGAGTACGACATTGACAACCAACACTAGACAGCTGAGCCTATGTCCTGCCATTCCCAGTCAACTCACGCTCTGAGTACATATGTACTGCAGCCGAGTCTTTGTGCACAACGTGAAAGAGCAGACAAGTTCCTATAAGTTCTTCATAGTGACTGAAATCTCTAAATAAATGTAGTAGATATGGAGGTGTGGTACGGCCCGTACAATTGTATGTTATCCTGGAAGCATGCCTTGCTATCCTCGCACAGCTACACCCCACGAATCATCCGCCTCACAATGCGCTTCCACCTATACGTCTTCGCACCCAGGTAAATAGGGTCCTTGCTCGAGATGACGCAGGTATGCATCTCGTCGACTGAATCCTGTACCACTAGTATCTCCGAGTCAACGGTCGTAGGACGCAAATACGGGTGGCGTTGGACGCCGTCGGCAGGCTGCTGCGAATCGAGAGAAATTCCAACGCAGCAGACAACGTCTTCCTTGTCCCCTGAGGCATGAGTCTGGACTCGGTGACCCTCGAGGTCAGCGTCGGTGATCGGCTTTCCGCAATAAGGACATGGGGTTGTGGGAGCACCAGCGTCGCTCAGGATACTATCGATAGCATCCCGGGATAGTCGATACTGAACGTTTCGCGCCCTTGATGACGTCAGTATCACCGTCGGAGGGTCGCTATTGGCCGCAGGTGATGCGGGGTGCGAAACGGCGGGCGACGACGTCGACGTGGAGGGATACTCGTACGGCAAGAAGCCCGTGTCCTGCGGCTTGCGGGAGTAGGGGCTGGAACGAGGGCTGCGCCGTCGGCGAGGATGGCGCAGGAGACTCCTCCCGGATGAGCCAGAGGGTTGTGCGTCTTGCAAGATCCGCAAGCAGGACGGAACCACCTTGGTTCGGAGGGATGCCGAGATCTGAGGGAAGGGGTATGGGTCCAGCCGTCATCGTAGGTGCCGCCGGGCGCGAAACGGATGGTGACGGTGTCGACGTCGGTCCCATGAGGTAGGCATGAGGTCAAGGGATTGAGCCTGACTAAAATTGAGCCTGACTAAATCCCTCGTCCATCGCTTCTGGAATGCAGGGTGCGCGGTACCACGGTAAGCCATAGCCATACCATGACGAGCGCTTGGGCTTCGCCGTCGTCTGTCGTGCTCCGTACTTCCCCACCACGGCCTATCTTGTCGGGTGCATCAGGTTGCGTAGCAGACAGTGGCCGCTGGTTGGGATGTTGATGGAACCTGGACTCCCCGCGGAGGCCCCTACACCAGTATGACGAACCCTTGGGCGGGGACACCTGCAGAGGAGGTCAGCGGGACGCGACAAGCGGCGAGGTGAGAACATACATGGCCATGAGAGTCCGCCGAACAGCAATCCGGCGTAGGATGACGATTGAATCAGGAAGCACGATGCTTGGAGATGGCTCGAGAGCGGGCCCGAGTGGGCTACGGAAGGTTTCAAGTGTCGCATGAGGAGTGAATGCGATGGCGAAGTGAGAGAGTGGAATGAGTTTGTCGGCCCTGCAGTAGGGCCTTAAATACCAGTAAGGACAGGGGTTTCACGAGCTTGTGGACTCTGGTGTCAAAGCGTCGGGTGGCGCTAAGGGATGTGGCCACCGCAAGGCCATAGCAACAGCACACAAAGCGGGGCGCCGAAAGGGATAAAGTGTGTGGCCAAAGCGCGGCACGATCGCCACACAGGGGCTCTCTATCTCACTTTGGTTAAGCGTCGACGTAGCTGGGCCTGACATTGTCATGTCAATAGAAAGCAGAGACCACACTTGACCCACGTACTGACTACAGGTGGCCACCCTCGCGACGTCGATCATTTGCCCAAGTTCAGCAGCGCCTCGTGCACAGCGGTACCCTCCTCTTCGGACAACAGAATCACGGAACGAGCGGAGAAGCGCGGAATGACCCGATACCACATAAAGCGAGGTTCGTGCCAGCTCGGCGGAACGTACACAGTGTCGGCGGCGGGTGCGCGATTGAGCCCGATGTGTTCAAGATGAGGCGAGCGATTCGCTAATTTGAATGCGCGCCGATGCGCCCATTCGGTGAACCCATCGTCTTTAAAGGTTGCCGGGAGAGTGATGGTTATGGCCACGAGGTATTTCGTGGTTTGATCGTCCACGCAGCGCTCCTGATAGCAGCAAAATAAGAGGCGTGAGGAGGCAAGAAGAAACATATACGCAATGGCTTACGATGTCATCCTCGATCTGCATTGCATCTCGCCCATCGCAGAAAGTCAGTTGCAGAAATTTCACTGTCTCGTTCTCCGAGTTCCAATATAGTGGTATCGAGACAGATCCTAAGATGACGGGTCGGTATGCGTGGATCGTGTTCTCAGCCATGTACCCCATTTCGGGACTACGTAGGGTCAAGCGCCGTACATGACCTTGAAGGGGCAGCGGTATGTCCGTCGAGAGGAAATCCAACTTTGGAGGGGTAGTGACGGTTTGACGATTAAAAATTGCCAGTTTGGGGCCTACCCGAAGTGTGTGGATGCCGGGGAAAGCGCGAAATATAACGCCAACGTGCGAGATGATCCCATGCGATATCGCGAGTTCTTGCAATTTCGGCCAACTCGGTCCCGTCGCTGCTAAGAGAGGGTCCGTGTGGTACCCTATCGAAAGGGAAACAAGCGACTCGGAGAACTTGTTAAGTGTCGCGGTCAGCTCCTCTCGAGGAAAGCTCTGAGAGTCATCGAAGCGACAGGTCAACACCTTAGGGCGGCTCACCGCTCGGGACAGAACCGTAAGTGTCGCCCCGTTTGCAGCCAAGAGGTGTATCGTCTCGAGCGCAGCGGAAGCCGCGATTGCTTCAGCTAGGTCGGGAATGTCCTCCAACAGGTAGCCTATCGATCCGAAGGACAGAGTTCGCAATTGGTGGGACCTTCTGATGACTTGGGCGAGCATGGAAGGTCCTTCCGTGTAGTCGGCACAGGACAGCGACCGTTCCCCATCAAATGGCCAGGATTTGATACAAAGGGATGCCAAGAGCCCGGGACGAGAGGGTTCGTTGAGCATGTACTCGCAAAAGCGGCGAATCGACTCGGGGCTCCATCGACTGGTGATAGTCACCTCTCTGACGAAATATCGTAGCGCGATGTTATGGACAGCGTGGCAAGTATGCGCTAGACGCAACATGTCTCGCCGCTCTGTGTATTGTAGCAATGTGTTGATGATATCATAATATAAGTCCATGAACCTCATCTTGGTTCGCGGCCTGGGCAAATCTGGACGGTGGTAGATGCGCCAGCACTGCCACGTCAATGTCATACGCTAGTCGCCTAGGAATCGCTCTCGTGACGTACCTCCTCGGACAACGGATTTCTGCTGTAAATGCTGTAGAGTCAGTGTGAAAGCATTACGTGCCACCAGTGGGTGGTAGGAGGTTACAGCGATTCGGAGGTTCGCTGGCGACCGTCGCCGTATGTAAAACACGTTGTATTCGGGCGTCTATGGATCGAGATTATGTTTCTCGCAAACACCACGCAAAAGGGAACATCTGCACACCCTTCGGCGACTGGGTCCGACGAGCAAGGTCGGGTTGCTAGGTACATCCGAAGATCATCAAATGTACATCCCATCTCATCATCAAACTGAATACGGCCCGAGGTACGTCGTACTACACACAAGTACACAGGTAGTAGTGGCACACCCCCAGGCCGGTTAGCGAACACTGAAAGCACATACATGACGACAACTTGCTCTGAGTACTGAGTACATGGATACGTGATTCACGGAGAGCATAATCAGCAACTACGCATCAATCCAGGTCATCGATTTCCATCCTAGCCAACAGATCCGCGAAGGTTTCCAAATCGGCGCGCTTGTGCTTCCTATGATTCAAGCTCTTCTCCACCGGCTCTGGAGTGTTTGGCGGCGGAGGAGGAGGCGGCGGAGGTGAAGGGGTGCGATTTCTCGCAGGAGAGCGAGCCTGCAAGTAGTCAACGATGTCATAGAGATCGCGCTTGTGCTTCCTATGATTCAAATTCGTCACCACCGGCTCTGGGGTGTTTGGCGGAGGAGGAGGCGGCGGAGGAGGCGAAGGGGTACGATGCCGCGCAGGAGAGCGAGCCTGCAAGTATTCAATGACGTCGTATAGATCGCGCTTGTGTTTCCTATGGTTCTTCTCCTCCGGTTCCGGGGTGTTTGGCGGCGGAGGGGGAGGCGGCGGGGGCGAAGGGGTGCGGTTCCGCGCAGGAGAGCGAGCCTGAACGGCACGGGCATCAAGCGACCCGTCATAGAATCCACGAGTATTCCTGAGGATGGGTCAGGATTGTCAATGGGATGTTACGGGCACGGACGTACAAATCAATGGGAAGAGCAATAGCCGGGACGATAGCACCTGCAACGAGTGCCGCCGTCGCAACGATGGAATAACGCATGTTGGCTGATGTTTGAAGTCGTCAGGTGGCGTACAGGGAATGAGTGTTGGGCGTGAACACAAAAAGCGCGACTGGTAGCAGCGAGAATCATTAACAACTGCGTAGTAGCATCACAATATAATGGACACTTACCTGCCAGAGTCTGCACTTGAGTTGAGCTCGAAGAGGAAGAGGAGCTGAAGACAACCAGCGATGAGAGCTCTCCTTATATACATGCGAGGCATGTACTCCTACGACCAGATGATACGCCGCGGTGAGACCGTATGCATTCTGCGCCGATCTCTGCATCGATTCATCTGACTCCACCGGTCTTCTACGGGCGCGATTCTGACCACAGCGCTGCATCCTGATGTTGTCTGAACACGAGTATCAGCTGCCGCTGTGATTGCGATTATGAGATATACAATGCAGTTGTGTTCTGGCATGTTGTCGAGATCATGTCCTCGGTCCAGCCTCTGCTCAGTCCATGAATGTGTATAGCACGCCACGGGACCACTTGGCCGCTCTTGACTTGTCTACTCGGTGATAGAACGACTTACAGTCGTGCAGTGAGAAGCCTCGAGATTGCTGTGCCAACAACGGGGGGACACGCCCTAGTGGTGCCAGAGTCGGATATTGTACCATCAAGACGCTTGACACAGCGCCCAGGGCCCAGGCTAGTGCAACTGGACGATCTCCCGGTGAGACATCCGGCTGGCCGGATGCTTTAGCAAGTAAGTGCGATGTCAAGCCGCGCGAGATGAATTGATAATTCACCTGGAGTTCAAAACACAACTTGAAGCCGGCCGAAGCTGCCCAGCAACAACTTAGCTCGTCTCGTCAGCAGGCCGGGCAGTCTCCTAGTCAATAATTTGGGGTCACTCTTCCTGAGGCTATCCTGCTTGCACTCGGGGTGTGGCGTAGCAGCCATAAATCTATCTTATTTTCTGCTAAGGGTGTCACTCGGAGAGTGAGCGAAACCTGGACGCAGAGAAACCGCATGCAACACACCGCCTGTGAGCGTAACTCTGAGCCAAGTCATTGACTAGCACAGCCGTGGGCGCATAGTGTGATCGAAGGATCGCCCGAACGGTGCGTAAATCTCTGGACACAGAGGCTGTGGTAGTAGTACGCTGTGCCAGTGGTACGGTCCTCCCCATGGGAACAGCCCTGCCAAAAGTGGACACCGCGTTACATGGCGATTGTCTACACTAGGGTCTCAGAGTCTTCAGAGCACAGAAATAGCACCGCGGCTGTGCTACCTACTGGCAATCTGGAGACTCTAAAGGTTCAAGTAGTCACATTGGCCGCGATCGGAGAGACGGACTCACAGTGCGTAGGCTTACACCCCACATGGAGAGATACGCATTGAGTACCTGGCACCGGGTATCTTTCCACCTGCATCACGCCTCCGCGCATTCTCGAGCGTGGACATGGTGGGCATCAAGGCGGCGGCGATCTTTTGGCGATCTCACATCATCTCAGTCGAGGAACGTCGGAGGAACGAGTTGAACTACGCGGTCACGTGCACTATGCCGACCGCGTCTCCGACTCGGATATTCTCTCTAGATCAGTGACGACTTCAAAACCGGGCACACGAAGGGCTGGTTTACATGTTACAGTAACACGCGGTACTTGCTATGATGACGCAGTGTCGAGGGTGAACTAGATCGAGATTTGATGCCGAGGTCGACTGGCAGAGCATGCGGATAGCCTGAGAACAACTGGCCAGACGAACTGTAACTTCAAGTTCACGGTATTCAGCATAATAGTCCATGCATGCTCCGACTGAGCTGTGGGCATTTGCGCCCGGTCCATTATAATTGAGTAGGGGCAACGCACTACCAATTCAAACTCCGACACGTCCGCGCCACCCGCCTGCCGCGCCTCACAAAGTGGGCGCGGAAAGAGGTGCACTTTTCTCCGGTTCATCCACTTCAGAATATTCCGGAGAAGTGATGATAATTCATGTAAATTCGGGCTTGAGAAAGTGTTCTGGATAGAATTTCCGAAAATGTTCTGCGGCGGCGGCAATTTTTATTGCCCGACAATAAGAACACTGCAAAAAAGTCCATCCAGAAGACTTTGTCAGACGAGGCTCAATGACCACGTTCGCACATTTGATGCAGGAGCTGGAACGCGGTGGAACGCCAGAAGTGCACCTCTTTGTCGCGGTGCGACGCGTGTTACGTAAGCAAGTCGCGCGCGCCACTAGCGCGCCTCGACGCGTTCACCGCCAGTCTTGTGTCTATCGTTCGTGTTCCCTTGCTGCTACACGTACCAAACTACCGTCAACATGTTTGTATCACTGTCTCCGACAGCCCAGAAAATTTACTCGGCCCAGGATTGGCTCCCAGCATACAAAAGGTGGATTCTGCCCTTCTGGGCTCATCACCGATGATCCATGGGCCTGGAAGATTATTTCGGACCATATGATTTCTTGTACCGTGGGTCTGAATGTGTGATGAAGTTGACCTTGTGGTTAGATTTCTCATACACAGCTTTCACCGAGACATTGTATGGAGTTCCTCCAACATAATGACTACCATGACATGCTGTATTCATTTCACTCCTCTGCAGAATTTCACAGACACTCGTAAGATACACACCAGTCTAGCTGAATATATTTGTGATTTAATACAAACCATATCGGAAGCGACAGCACGATGAGACAGTCGTGTCCACTTTCTCGCCGCGTCTTGATCACGTGACCGAGGACGCTTTTCGGAAAGGTGTTGCCCCTAGTCATTATAATGCGGCAATTCCAAGTGAGCAGTACAGGCCAGCGAATACAATCACATCACATCGACGTTATGTGTATCAAAGACTTCAAGTCATGTAAGTCACGGTAGCACACATGGCATCAAGCCAACAAGGAATAGTGGGCACTGATGCTATGAGTTCCCCGTACTCAGGTAGCAAGCAAGCGGCTGCGCAGAAAAGGGGCGTAATCCTGTCATGTCTGCAACAGGCTGTCATACTGATATAAAAGCCCAGAAAGTGTCAACTTACACGGTGAGCGCGCTGAAATTTGAGACTCAAAGATGTACTTTGCATGCATTTTATGCTGTCCAGATATCCTCAATCCGGTCACAATAAAAAAACATGTGCCCGTACCTACAGTGCCTTTAGCGGAGACCGCAATCGCACAGAATGCGACTTACGATGCCCTTATGCGCCGGCATGCGAGAGGCAAGACAATATTACCTTATGTACCATTGTTCGGCGTCCGAGATGACATCAGCGACTGTCTGTGGTTCCAACTTCGCATGTTTGTCCTCCCAGATTGTGTGCCTACTCCGCTCGTATTGACACGAGTCGGTAATAGAGTTCAGGCATCAGTACTTCGTTATCGGCCCCGGCGATCGAACCTTACATACCTCAAATTCCGTCTGATCGGCACACGAGCAGTCGTATGACTGTGCTGTTGACGAGGTCCTACCAATACCTCCCCCGAGTGACTGTCTCTTCCTCATAATTCGTGCGCACCGGCACCGTCGGAAACACAGTGTAGTATCAGCGAGGTAGCGCAGGCAAGAACACATCAGCTATGCCCCAAACTTGTAACAAACTGTGGAAGATGCCCCTACAACCGGATATCACGGGAGCCCATGCTATTCATGGACCACTTGTAGCAAGGCTCCGTTTGAGTCGTACCTGGCATCGCGGGAGCACCTCGCATGCGCGACAGAACCTAAACACGACGCCCAAAGGCATATTCCCGCGGACGCTTCCATGAGACACTGAAACATTTAGGTTGTGCCGAGCGCATTCATTCCGTGCCAGTGGT